CTTTCTATTGTGACGAGGCAGCCCTTCCCTCATTCCACTACCAGGCTTTGGCACTGAAGTGACCCTGGGGCTGTTTTGGTACTGGTGGAATTCAAGCCCTGTAGCAGTTTGAAATAAAATGGCAGTCCTGCTCTCTAGCTGCTAGTGACTGGGTTTGGGGCACTGCTACTCTGGTTCACTCATCAACCAGTGACTATGGGGTGAACCACTTAGGAAAATGTTCTCACTGCTACCTTATTCTGTACAAGTCTCTCCTGGTCCCGGCTGGGTCTCAGCCTCCAACTGCTTGTGTGAGGCCTTTCAGGAAACAGTGTCCTGCCATGGCCTGCTTCGCTGCAGTGCACTGGGTCTGCTCCACACTTGTTGCCTTTGTCTGGCCCCTCAGGGTAGTGTCCCACCACTGCTCTGGGCTGGGCATGCTGCTCACTCTGCTCCTTTATTAAGAATTCTTTTACAAGATTTATCCTTTCTAAATTATTGAGACAGATGATTAGTTAATGGATTCTTTTTTAATTTTACATATTTAAGACTGTATATTTCTTTTAATCTTAGGTTTACATGCATAATACTTGTTTTACAAATTTATTGAACTGTAATTGACAAAATTTTTATATTTTAACAAATATCACACATCTATGAAGCTGGTACCACAGACAACATAACTAACATGTCTCTTAACCAATGTGTCCTGTAGTGCTCTCTTTTGAACCTTCTTTTTGCCCATCACCCCCTTTTGTTTGATGGATATACTGCTTATTATGAAGGCAGAATTGGGGATAACATCAAAATTACATAGGTTAATGAATTATTACAAGAGAAATATACAATATAATTATTATCTAGATCAAGAAATGGAACAGTACTAATGCTCCAGAAAACCTCTGCATGCTCTTTTTTATCAGTGTTTTGTCCAATTTTTATAGTGGTAACTAGTTTTCTGTTCCAACTGGTACAGTTAGAGCATTCCTGTATGTTCTATAGCTGTGTGGCTGTCCTTATGGGCATAAAATTAATGATTCATAAAAGAGACATGTGAAGTTACTATGAAAACTATTCCTTTTTTGGGGGTGGTTTCCGGTACCGGGAACCAAACTCACGACCTTGCGCTTGCCAGGCAGGCGCTGTGCTGCTGAGCTAAATCCCCAGCCCCTACCAAAACTATTCTTAAGTGGCTCTACCAGTTCGCACTGCCAGGAGCCTTGTTTACCAATTCCAGACCTGAAAAGATTTATGATAGTGTTTTTTTTTTTTTTTTCTGCTAGTGTTGCTTTTCTTTTTACCTGCCTGGTGATCATGCAATGACGTGTGCTTATTTCATTATTAATATTTCTATATATTGGCACTGATTTGTACACACATTGTTTTGCTTTGTTTTTTTTTTTTTTTTGGTATATTGAGCATCCACCCACACATGCTAGCAATTACGTTCCGCAGACCTACACCTTAGTCATGTTCATATCTTTATTTGTCATTTGAATATCTCTTCCTTTCTGACATGTTAGTTGAAATTTTTTTAGCCTTTTTGGTAAATTTTTTTCTTGGTAATATACTGTACATCATAGATTCTGTATTATAAGCTGTTCACTACAAATGTGCGCTGCACATATCTTTTTGAACTCCGTATCTTAACCATTGTGTACTTTCTGTGTTACTTTATAAACAAAAATTCCTAATTCTAATACTTACTATATATATATTTTTAATTTGTAACTTTAGAATGTAAAACCATTTTACTACTAAGGTCATAACTTTAACAGGAATTATTTCATGGAGAGTCCTGTGGGAGAGGAGGCTGATGATTTGCCTTGAGAAGATAATGTCTCCTGTTATGGGCCTGGTCTATATTACCTACTTCAACCATGATGTTAAACATTTCATCCAGTCCTCATTTTTACAAGTCCCCTTGTACTTAGGTAGGACCAGAGAACTTTTTATGATCAATGAGTCACTTCCATGCTAAGCATTTTATGATCCAGATGCAGCACCTGTAACGTGGTTCTTCAGTATGAGGAGGAACCTAAAAATGGTAACCTTTTTGCATTGTGAATTTGTATGTTTCTTTTGTCTTTGTGCTTTCTAGTCAAAGGAAATTTTGTTGTATATGTAATAATTTCTCAATTTTAGTTTCAAACTTTCCAGTCTTATACCTTTAACAACTTTGATTTTTTCATTTTTCTTTTAAAGAGAGCAGTAAAAAAAAAGAACAGTAGCAAAATACAAACCAAAAAAGTAAGGATATTAAAAATGGTATGGGGTTTCAAACCAAATAATAGGGATTAACAGTTGTTATATTACATATTTTTATCATCAACAAAGTTGCTCAGATTACCAGATGGAAGAATCAAAAATTGATCAAACCATTAAAGGGAATAAGAAAATAATTTAAAAGAGCATTAGAGACAGTACATAGTTTAACTAGACAAGATTGTAGGAATTCAACAATAGTTGTTATACTGCAATTTGCTGTCCTCACATAAGTTGCTCTGATTACCAGATTATAAGCATGCAAAATTGGTCAAAATATATAAGAATAATTTAATCATTAACTGTTCCCCTCAATAAAGCACCAGACATCAGCAGTACAGTTATGCCAGCTATCCATACCTATATATGTATGTGTATGTGTGTATGTATATATATATATGTACATTTTATATATATAATGCTTTAGTGCTTTCTTTTTCTTCCCTCATCCCAGTTGTTCCTTCTTTTGAGCAATTTCTTTCCCTTTCATATAATCTATTGAACATTTTGGGCTTTATTTACTCTTTCATGTTCTTACACCAGGGAGACAATATGATGTATTTACACATGTGGATCTGATTTATTTCACTTACGAGTATGGTCTCTAGTTGTATCCATTTACCTGTAAAAGCCTCAAGGTTATCTTTTTTTATAGCTGAGTAATACTCCATTGTATAAAGATATGTCTTTTTTTTTTTTTAATCTATTCCTCACTTGATGGGCAGTTGCATTGTTTCCAAGATTTAGCTATGACAGATTGTGTTGCTGTAATTATGGGTGCACATATATCACTGTATGATGTCTTTAATTCTTCTGGGAAAATACCCAGAAGGGGAATAGCTGGGTTAAGTGGGACTTCTAATCCTAGTTTTGTGAGGAGCCTCCAAACTGATTTCCACAGTGGTTTCACCAGTCTACACTCCCACCAGCACTGGAGAAGAGCTCCTTTTTCCCCACAGCCTCTCCAGCATTTGTGATTGGTTGATTTCTTAGTGATAGACATTCTTTGTGGGGTGAGGTGGAATTTCAGGGTTATTTTAATTTGCATTTCTTGAATGACTAATGATGTTGAACATTTTTTCATATATTTATTCGCCAGTAGTATTTCTTCATCTGAGAAGTGTGTATTCATCTCAGATGCCCAGTTTTGGATTGGATCTTTGAATTTGGAGGGCCTGATTTTTTTTTTTTAATTCTTTATATGTTCTAGATAGAAATCCTTTGTCTGAGGGGCAGTTGGCTAAAATTCCCAATTTGTGGGTTTTTCTTTTTACTCTTTTGGTGATTTCTTTAGATGTGCAAAAACTTTTCAGTAAGATGAGACCCCAGTTGTTGATTCTTTGAGGTATTTCCCGTGCAGTTTGGTTTTTGTTCATGAACTCTCTGTCTACCCATATGTTTTTGAGATTTTTACCTACCTTCTCTTCAGGTAGATTTAGTGATTCTGTTTTGATATTTAGGTCTTTGATCCATTTTGACTTTAGTGAATGGTGATAGACATGGGTCTACTTTTAGTACTCAGCATGTAGAAATCCATTTTTTCCAGCACCATTTGTTAAAGAGGCCATCTTTCTTCCAGTGAACATGTTTGGTCCCTTTGCTTGCTGATGTATTGAAAACATACATTTCATTTCTGGGCTTCTACTATTAAAATCTGCTTCATGTTAGAAGGGAAGTGAAACACTTCTGTTGTCCAGAACATTGTTTCTTGGTTTATGTGAAAAATAGGCCAAGTCGTTGTGTGCAGCCTATAGGCTGGTTGCACTTTTGCCCTACAGGTGAATGCTAAAGTGCAGTTGCCAGTGGTGGGACTAGATTCACCTTGAGTGTCTCAGGCTGTATTTTAGTACATGGGGATGCAGCTAGATTTGGAGGCAACTGTGAAGGCTCTCATTGGCCCATCTGAGAGGTTAGTGCAGGTTTGGGACCTCAGCTCTTCACTCAGTGCATTCATTGGCATGGGTGGCTGTGGTCCCCATGGTGGTGTCATGTGCTCTGAATGCCTCTCTCTGCATGGGCTTGAGTTTGCTGGGCCCAACAGGCCTGCATTTTGTAGAAGGGGGTGGGACCAAGCTTTCTACCAGTTCTGGTCCAAACACTTCTGGGCCCAAACCTCCATAAATCCACATTCAGCTCGTCTCTCTCCCTGACAGTGTCAAAATACAGTTTGTTTGAAGATAATATAAGATGGTTCACTGTAGTTTTTCTGTGTCCAGCTGCTGACACCCCAGCTGGCACAGTGTGTTTCTTGCTAACAACCAGCTTGTGCTTCACCTGAGTTAACATAATATTTCTGTTGTTGAAATTGTTCACTTTGTTTTGGAGCCCAATAATAACTACTGCTTGTAAAATGTCTTCAGAAGTGAAAAAATAAAATGGGTGAAAAGTTCTGGAAAAAGTGGATTAGAAGAAAGTCATTGTTTGTCGTGCTGTAGGCTATCTAAATATGGTATGAGAGAATACAGGCCATAGGAGACATACACACGTTGAACTTTAAATAAAGTTGATATTTTTTCCAGGAGTCGATTAAGATTCTGCTTCACTTGATCTTTTGTTTTCATTTTTTTTGTTGGTAATGTTTTTGGCTGCTAATGTCACAGCAGTGATGATGTTCCATCCCTGTGCATTGGCACGTGATAAAACTTTTTTTGGTTTGTAACTGATTTAATTTAATTTACTTGATTAAAGTGCTACCCACCGTAATTTTCACTCTAAAATCTCTATCTTGGTGATATTTCCTGATATTTATATTTTAGGAACGGTTGACATTTGGAGATGTGGCCATTGATTTCTCTTTAGAAGAATGGGAATGCTTGGACCTTGCTGAGCGGAAGTTGTATGCAGAAGTGATGCTAGAGAATTACAGAAACTTGGTCTTCCTTGGTGAGGATAATTTCCCTGTAGAGTTCCTAATTCAAAATGATTGTTTAATTTTCATTCTATTTTTAGAAGCTTTATGGGAGCTTCTGATTTGCATCGTTACTGCTTTTGATGATCAAGTGGAGGTTTCTTCGTGTAGACAAGTGAATTTTCATGGAATTTGTTCTTTATTGTGTCTTCTTACTTGAATCAATTTACATTTGTAGGAAATTTAGAAATTCAGTGGTATCAAATATTATTGTCTATAGTTTAAAAGTCAGTTTCTCATAGTGTTGATTTCAGAGTAGAACAAATTGAAGCTCAGGATCATCTATAAATTAGAAATGCTTCCTGTGTAGTCTAATGGTTGTCTGAAACAGTATTTAAAGAAACATTTTAAGAATGTTATAAACTCTTCTACGTATGGGGAGTATCTAACCAAGTGTCATGTTTCATTTTTCAATTAATAGGTCTAAGTATCTCTAAACCAAACCTTATTGCCTTTCTGGAGCAAAGGAAAGAAGCTTGCATTCTAAAGAGTCAAGGGACAGCAGCCATTCCTCCAGGTATGTAGGAATGAACAAATCAGAGGAAACAGGTGAGAGTCTGGTATAGCTCAAGGAAGAAGCCAGGCTTTAATATGTGGATTAAGAAGCTCTATTAAGAGGGAACTGATTTTACAGAAGCTGATGTTACCTCCCTGTGTTCATCATGCTCTTAAATCCTCTTAGTCTCTTTCAACCTTGCTGGTGATCTCCCCTCCATTTTTCTCCATGACAAAGATCTCACTTTTACCTGTGAATGTCTGAATTATCTGTCCTTTCTGAACCATTCTTTCCATCATTAAAATTACCTCAAGAGAGTTCTTTAGGAGCCGGGCATGGTGGCTCACACCTGTGATCCCAGCACTTGGGAGGCTGAGGCAGGAGGATCATTGCGAGTTGGAGACCAGCCTAGGCTACAAAGTGAGCTCAAGGCTAGTCTGAGCTGCATATCCAGACCCTGTCTCAAAAAAGACAAAAAAAAAAAAAGTTCTTTATAAATGATTGTAAAGGTTAGTAGGTGCAACTCTTACTGCATATACCAAATGTCAATGAAATAAAATGCATAGTCATCAGGGTATGTTGTCATAAATGGCATTATGTAGAATAATGTTCAATAATGTGTTTTGTTTAATATTGTACTCTGTTATCCTACTGAAGTATTCCACTTACTGTAATATTAAGTATTAAATGTGTAAAAGTGTTGACCTTAACTGGAATAATTACTATTTTCTCTTTCTCAGGTATGACTTTTCATCATACCCAAGGATTTTCATCAGAGCCAGAGGGACATTGTTCCTTTCAGAAAGTGGCAAATCAAGGATACAAAAATTATGGCCATAGAAATTTACAGCTTAGAAAAGAATGGGAAAGGGTTGATAAGTGTGAAGGTG